CGTCCAGGCACAGCAGGCGTGGCACTTTCTCGACACCACAGGGTGGTCTTTCACCGCGGCCGCTATGCACGACGGTCGTCCAGGCACAGCAGGCGTGGCACTTTCTCGACACCACAGGGTGTGTGCAGGGGGTGGTCTCTCACCGCGACCGCTAGGCACGACGGTCGTCCAGGCACAGCAGGCGTGGCACTTTCTCGACACCACAGGGGGTTGTGCAGGGGGTGGTCTTTCACCGCGGCCGCTATGCACGACGGTCGTCCAGGCGCAGCAGGCGTGGCACATTCTCGGCACCACAGGGGGTGCGCAGGGGATGGTCCCTCACCGCGCCCGCTATGCACGACGGTCGTCCAGGCACAGCAGGCGTTGCACTTTCTCGACACCACAGGGGGTGCGCAGGGGGTGGTTTCTCACCGCGGCCGCTACGCACGACGGCCGTCCAGGCACAGCAGGCGTGGCACATTCTCGACACCACACGGGGTGCGCAGGGGGTGGTCTCTCACCGCGGCAGCTATGCACGACGGTCGTCCACGCACAGCAGGCGTGGCACATTCTCGACACACAGGGGATGTGCGCAAGGGGTGGTCTCTCACCGCGGCCGAATATGCCCGACGTCGTTCCAGGCCAGCAGGGCGTGGCACTTTCTCGACGCCACAGGGGAGTAGTGGTGCGCAAGGGGTGGTTCTCACGCGGCCGCTATGCACGATTGTCGTCCAGGAACAGCAGGCGTGGCACTTTCTCGACACCACAGGGGGTGCGCGGGGGTGGTCTCTCACGCGGCCGCTATCCACGACGCGCCGCCCAGGCACAGCAGGCGTGGCCCATTCCGACACCACAGGGGTTGCGCAGGGGTGGTTTCTCACGCGCCGCTATGCACGACGGTCGTCCAGGCAAAGCAGGCGTGGCACTTCCTCGACACCATAAGGAGGTGCGCAAGGGGGTGGTCCCTGAGCTCGGCCGCTAATGCACGACGGTCGTCCAGGCACAGCAGGCGTGGCACTTTCTCGACACCACAGGGGGTGCGCAGGGGGTGGTCTCTCATCGCGGCCGCTATGCACGACGGTCGTCCAAGCACAGCAGGCGTGACACATTCTCGACACCAGAGGGTGGTCTCTCACCGCGGCCGCTATGCACGACGGCCGTCCAGGCACAGCAGGCGTGGCACTTTCTCGACACCACAGGGGGTGCGCAAGGAGTGGTCTCTCACCGCGGCCGCTAGGCACGACGGTCGTCCAGGCACAGCAGGCGTGGCACTTCTCGACACCACAGGGGGTGCGCAGGGGGTGGTCTCTCACCGCGGCCGCTATGCACGACGGTCGTCCAGGCACAGGAGGCGTGGCACTTTCTCGACACCACAGGGGCTGCGCAGGGGGTGGTCTCTCACCGCGGCCGCTATGCACGACGGTCGTCCAGGCACAGCAGGCGTGGCACTTTCTCGACACCACAGGGGGTGTGCAGGGGGTGGTCTGTCACCGCGGCCGCTAGGCACGACGGTCGTCCAGGCACAGCAGGCGTGGCACTTTCTCGACACCACAGGGGGTGCGCAGGGGGTGGTCTCCCACCGCGTCCGCTATGCACGACGGTCGTCCAGGCACAGCAGGCGTGGCACATTCTCGGCACCACAGGGGGTGCGCAGGGGGTGGTTTCTCACCGCGGCCGCTACGCACGACGGTCGTCCAAGCACAGCAAACGTTGCACTTTCTCGACACCACAAGGGGTGCGCAGGGAGTGGTCTCTCACCGCGGCCGCTAGGCACGACGGTCGTCCAGGCACAGCAGGCGCTGAACATCCTCGACACCACAGGGGGTGCTCAGGGGGTGGTCTCTCACCGCGGCCGCTATGCACGACTGTCGTCCAGGTATAGCAGGCGTGGCACATTTTCGGCACCACAAGGGGGTGCGCAGGGGGTGGTCTCTCACCGCGGCCGCTATGCACGACGGTCGCCCAGGCACAGCAGGCGTGGCACTTTCTCGACACCCAGGGGGTGCGCAGGGGGGGTGCGCATGGAGTGGTCTCTCACCGCGGCCGCTACGCACGACGGTCGTCCAGGCACAGCAGGCGTGGCACTTTCTCGACACCACAGGGGGTGCGCAGGGGGGGGTCTCTCACCGCGGCCGCTATGCACGACTGTCGTCCAGGCACAGCAGGCGTGGCACATTCTCGACACCACAGGGGGTGCGCAGGGGGTGGTCTCTCACCGCGGCCGCTATGCACGACGGTCGTCCAGGCACAGCAGGCGTGGCACTTTCTCGACACCACAGGGGGTGCGGTGCGCAGGGGTGGTCCTCACCGCGGCCGCTATGCACGACGGTCGTCCAGGCACAGCAGGCGTGGCACATTCTCGACACCACAGGGGGTGCGCAGGGGGTGGTCTCACCGCGGCCGCTATGCACGACGTCGTCCAGGCACAGCAGGCGTGGCACTTTCTCGACACCACAGGGGGTGCGCAGGGGGTGGTTTCTCACCGCGGCCGCTATGCACGACGTCCACGCACAGCAGGCATGGCACTTTCTCGACACCACAGGGGGTGCGCAGGGGGTGGACTCTCACCGCGGCCGCTATGCACGACGGTCGTCCAGGCACAGCAGGCGTGGCACTTTCTCGACACCACAGGGGGTGCGCAGGGGGTGGTTTCTCACCGCGGCCGCTATGCACGACGGCCGTCCACGCACAGCAGGCGTGGCACTTTCTCGACACCACAGGGGGTGCGCAGGGGGTGGTCTCTCACCGCGGCCGCTATGCACGACGGTCGTCCAGGCACAGCAGGCGTGGCTGGCTGGTCTGATTACGTCGGCTGGTGTTGGCTGGAACGACTGATCCGACTGGTCTGGTCAGTCTGACTGGTCTGGCTGATCTGGCTGGTCTGGTCAGTCTGGCTCGTCAGGATGGCGAAGCGGGATGTGATATGGTTTGTGAACACACGTGACATAAAGTAAGTATGTGGGGTTCCTCGGTAGCGTAATTGTTTCCTCTTTTTGGGCCTCTTGGGCGGCCCTCGTCGCCATCGCTGGATTCGCCTCTACATTCTGGTCAGACCGCACCCCGAGAGAGGTTCGGGGAGTAGCGGTATCGGTATCTTTCCGGTTCCCCCAAAAGAAAAGAAACGGCTTAAACGTCAGAGGAAGGCCGTTTGAGACACTGGTAGTTGGCCTGCGGGGGGGGCCCTCGTCGCCACGGCTGGACGCAGCGAAGAAAATTGGCGTGTTTGGACCCTGGGAAGGGTCCAGGACCGATTTCGAATTCCTAGTGTCTCAAGCTCCGGAAACGGCATTAAAATGAGCTGCGGATATCTTGAGATCGGCGTTGGTACCCACCTGGCGGCGCCTGCGGCGCCGCCCTTGGTGTGCTCCGAGCGCCAGGGAGGGGGGGTCCCGCGCCGAGTCCAGAAAATCCGCGCGGACCTCCGAATGTGTATGTTTATCCGGATGGGAGGGGGCCGAGCGGTCATTCATTGTCCTTGGGGGCGTGGCTGAAGTGGGGATCCGTGGTGAGGATTCTGCTTGTTGCGCTGTTGCGTTGTTGTTTGTTTGTTTGTTTGTTTGGTTGTGTTTGTTTGTTTGTTGTCGCCGTCCCACCCGCGACCCAACCCGCGACCCACCCACGACCCACCCCGTTACCCACCCGCGTCCCACCCCGCGACCCACCCGCGACCTACCCGCGACCCACCCACGACTTGGCCCGCGACCCACCCCGCGACCCACCCGCGACCTTTCCGCGACTCTTCTGCGACCCACCCCGCGACCCACACGCGACCCACCCCGCGACCCCATCAGTCAGAGTGAGGGGCCTATACTGTCATTCACTGTCCCCGGGTGCGTGGCTGAAGTGGAGATCCACGGCGAGGATTTTGTTTTTTGTTGCGTCGTCCCCCCCGCGACCCTGCCCCCGACCCACCCGCGACCCACCCCGCGACCCACCCGCGACCCACCCTGCGACCTTTCCGCGACCCTTCTGCGACCCACCCCGCGACCCCCTCGCGACCTACCCGCGATCCACCCGCGACCCACCCGCGACCCACCCGCGACCTGGCCCGCGACCCAACCGCGACCCACCCACGACCCACCTGCGACCCAACCCGCCACCCACCCACACTGTTTGAACAAGAAAGTCGGCGCCTGCGGCGGGCTTCTTCAGAGCCTCGCAGACTGCCAACGTCCCCGCCGCCTCCTCACTCTTATCCGCAACTGCGGGGTGCTGTATACCGTTTTTTGGTTTTCCTGTAGAGGAGGCGAAGAGGAAGGTGAATAAGGCTCGCGTCGACCTCCGGTGCGACGTCTGCAGGGCCGTCTTGGGCGAGGTGCACCAGGAGGTGCAGAAGAGGCCGAAGACCATGCGCAGCGAGACGGACATGCTGCCGCTCTTCGAGGGCGCCTGCGAGGGCGGCAAGGACCTGTCGGTGCCCGCCTACTTCGGCATAGAGCCGCCCCCGCTGGCGCCCGTGTGGACCGACCGGGTGCGCCCCTACCTGACGAAGAAGACGAAGCGCTGGACTTTGCGGCCGTTCCCCTCCGAGGTGGCGGCTCAGGAGCGGCGGGCGTGGCGGAAGAAGGCGGCCACTGGCCAGGCCAAGCCGCCCGGGGACGTCCAGAGCGAGGATCGAAGACTCAAGGCAAGCATGCAATCTTTTCGGAGGTCCGCGCGCATTTCTTCGATCGGCGCTGGACACCCCTCCCTGGCGCGCTCTGCGCGCCAGGGCTCCAGCCCAGGTCCAGGAACTCCGCGCGGACCTCCGGGTGTTTCTGCCTGCGCAGCTTTCCTGTCCGTCCAGAGGAGGACATGATGATGACCCTGGCGTGCAAGGACACCCTGGACGCGGCGCGCATGACGGAGTCGCTGTTCGCGCAGATGCAGGCCTGCGGCAGCCAGGACGAGCCAGCGTGCGATGCCGCGCTCGCCAGCGCGCGGCTGATCTGCCGGAGCGCGGCGGACGAGCCCTGCACTTACGGGGTGGGCGACGCTACGGGGGCAGGCGGCGCATCCCAGGAGCTATAGACTGTCCAGGCTTCCTGCGGCAAGTCCCGCCACCGTGCCAGCCCAGCATTCCGGGTGGCGACTGTTCGAGGGAGCACGGGAGGCCACGTCATGTGACACCTCGTGTCTCAAAGTTTGGGAGAGCCGAGGTGAGGATGATGAGGAGGATGAGGATGAGGATGAGGATGAGGAAAAGGGTGAGGATGAAGATGGGGATGGGAAAGAGGATGAGAAGGAGGACGAGGATGATAATGAGGATGATGATGCTGATGAGGAGGATGATGGTGGTGGTGGTGATGATGGTGATGATACTGCTGGTGATGATGATTATGTTACTGGTGACAGTTATGATGATGCTGATGATGATTACGATGGTCATGGTGGTGGTGGTGGTGTCGATGATGATGGTGATTGTGACGGTGGTGGTGATGGTGCTGAAGGGGATGCTACTGATGATGATGATGATGATGATCATGATGAGGATGATGGTGATGATGACGCTGGCGCTGGCGCTGGCGCTGGCGCTGATGATGATGATGATGATGATGATGATGATGATGAACGTGATAATGGTGATGGTGATGGTGATGATGATGGCGATAGTGGTGATGATGATAATGATGCCGATGATGATGACGACGACGACCGCGACGACGACGACGATGCAGGTGATGATGATGACGACGATGACGATGATGATGGTGATGATGATCATGATCATGATCATCAGCATGATGTTGATGACGGAGATGATGTCGACGACGATGATGGTGATGATGATCCTGATCATAATCTTGATCATGATCATGATCATGCTGATGATGATGATGATGATGATGATGATGATGATGATGATGATGATGATGCTGAAGATGATGATGATGATGATGATGCTGATCATGATGATGCTGATGCTGATTTGCTGATGCTGGTAATCATGATGATGATTATGATGCTTCTGCTGCTGCTTCTGATGCTGATTATTGTTATTATTAATATCATTATGACGATTCGGATGATCGTGATGAGAATGATGATGATAATGATGATGATGATGATGATGATGAAGAAGCTGATGCTGATGCTGATGCTGATGATGATGCTGATGCTGATGATGATGATGATGATGATGATGATGATGATGATGATGATGATGATGATGATGATTATGGTGATGGTGATGATGATGATGATGATGAGGAGGAGGAGGAGGAGGAGGAGGAGGAGGGGGAGCAGGAGGAGGAAGTGGAAGGCCCTCACATGTCATCTTGCGTCTCCACTGTTTGAGGAGCTCTCATTGAACTCGCTTGGGCCGCCTTGGGGCTGTCTTGGCCTCCTATGCGGCAGTCTTCGGGGTCCCTTGGTACTCTCTTGGGGTGTCTTGGGGTCCTCTCACGCCGTCTTGAGGCTCTCTCGGGTGGTCTTGGAGCCCTGTTGACCGTATGGTGGGCGGACGTCTGGGGACGCGTCGTGGGCCATTGTGGGGTCCTCTTGTGCCATCTTGGAACTCTTACTTGGGGGTCTCTCGGGCCGTCTTGGGGCCATCGTGGAGGCTTTTTGGGCCGTCTTGAGTTGACGGGATCCCGAAAATACGAGAATGCGACAATCTTACCAAAACCATAGCGAAATCAATGATTGTGGCTTCTTCCGACCTTGTCGCAGGTTTTCTTGTTGCCCTTTTGGGCCTTCCTGGAGGCATCTTGGGCCGTCTTGAGGCCATATTCGGAGGCCGTGGTGCCATCGTGGGCCGTCTTCGAAGCACCTTGGGCAATATTTGTGCCCTCGGTTGCTTGCCTGGGCTGTCCTCGGAAGCTCGGGATGCGGACGCACAGTTTGTCACACGGGACCGTGGCCAGGAGGCGGAGGAAGAGGTAGGGGAAGGAAGCCAGATAGCGCTCGGCATTCTGCCATGCCTCAGCGTGCCATGGGAGCACGGCGGTGGCCGACAGGACCCGCAAGGCCGCCGCGCCAGGCGCGCCCGGCCGCGCGGCGGTGCGGTCGCCATCCTGTCCGCCGCCTCGGGCATCTGGGCCTTCCCTGCCGCGCTCCTCGCGCCTCCCCGCTCCCGCCTCGCCCTCTAGTCCTCCCAGATGTGGTCCGAGTAGATGGGGGTGGAGGATCGCGCCGCATCGCCGACGCGTCTCGATGTGGAGACCGATTTTCTCCACTCCGACGGCGCCGATGCATCGCCGACGTCGCCGATGCATCGGCGATGCATCGGCGATGGAACGTCGATGCGGCGCGATCCTCCGACCCCGTCTACTCGGATTCCATCGAGGAGGCCTCTACGCCCGTCCTCGCGTCATGGGAGGAGCACGGCGGGAGATTTTTCTCTGTCTTCGGCCTTGGGGTGGCCCTCACGGGGCCTCGGGACCGTCAGACAGCTACAGCACGCAGGGTTGACACAAGAAACGGTCCCGGGGAGAGGGTCGAGGCCTTTGGGTCCCTTCCGCCGCCCCCTCTTCCTTCTCTTACCCCAGCCTGCCCCTCTTCTTGTCGCTCTTGAGCCGAACTTCCGCTAACCGCATCCTTCCGCCCCTCTTGAATCAGGTCGCACTTTTCGTTGTCCTGCGCGCTCCTTCCTCTTCCTGTCCCTCTTCTCCTCAGGGTCCTCTCCTTGGTCTTCCTCGCTCCCATTCCCCCCTCCTCCTGTAATGACGGCTGTCAGGGACGTGTGGCAGAGAGGTATGAGGAGCAGGAGGAGGAGGAGGAGGACCAGTGCAAACCCAAGACCCATCAACGATGTTGTAATAAACTTGTCCTCCAAACTCCCTCTTCATATGCCCCACACGGGTACATTTCATAGGGAATTGCCTCGTTGGGGGGCAACCGACTGGAGACCCTGAAGCGTGCCAAAACACCATTCTCGAGATTCCGACGCCACGAATCGTCACGAATCAACACGGCTGTTGCGTCTTGACAATCCAGACACGTGCCAGAACACCATTCTTGGGACTTCAACACCACGAATCAACGTAAGTGCTGCGCCCTCACAATCCCGAGGCCTTCAACACACCACTTTTGGCACGTTAAATATGGGAACCCGTGAAACTCTGGAATGCGCGGCGCTACGGCGAGAGCCACGTTTTGAAAAGGAGCCGCCCTCAGTCCGTGAAGTTCTTGCAAATTGTTAACGGGTGCGCGCGACGCTAAAATGAGAGCCACATTTTGAAAACGACCCGCTTTCATTCCATGAAGTTCGTTGGATTGTTTTGAAACGAATGTGCGTGGCGCTAGGGAGAGAGCCACATTTTGAAAAAAAGATCCGTCCTCAATCCGTGAAGCTCTGGCAGTGATTCAAAGCACATGTGCGCGGCATTAAGGCGAGGACCACATATTAGAACCGACCCGCCCTCAATCTGTGACATTGTTACGAATGTTTAAGCTTCAGGGTCATAACTTGTGAGGAAGTCTCAGGCGAAACGCCCAGCCTGCCCTTTCGACCAGCCTCGGGGTGCACCGTGCAGGAAGTATTCATGAGGAATGGACGCGGAGGAGGAGGAGGAGGAGGAGGAGGAGGAGGAGGAGGGAAGGAGGAGGAGGAGGAGAAGGAGGAGGAGGACGACGACGACGACAACGACGACGACGACGACGACGACGACGACGACGACGACGACGACGGATGACGGAGGACGGAGGACGGAGGACGGACGAGGACGGCGACGACGACGGGCGAGGTGAAAGCTCGAGATCGGTTCGGGGAGGGTACCCTTCTGTTCTGCGTGTTTGTTGGGCGTTCTCGTGCATCCTTGGGAGGGCACCCATGGATGTTCTGTGGTTTTCGAGGGTGGAGGGTCTCCTGTTCTTGGAGGATATTCTTCTGGCCTAGGCGCGACGGTTCGCCAAACCCAGACATGTCGCCGCGCCGTTTGTCCCGACGCGCGGCCTTGCGTCTTGGGGAGGGCGCCGCGGCTACCAGGCGGCCACCAAGGCAAACTCCGCCGCGGACGCGGTGGATTTGCCGTGGGGTATGCCCTGGTGTCGGCTTCGTCTGCTTGGGGTGCGGGACGCAGGGTTTGCCCCGGGTTTGCCGTGGTGTTGGCGTCATCCATTTTAGCGCGTCGAGAACAGACGGCGCGGCGACACATGCTCGTGTCGTGACAGCATCTCGACGGGCGGTTTTTGGCCGTTTTCTGCCTCTGGGGGCCCTCGCCCGGCCCTGGGACCTTGCAAGAAACGGCTCGGGACGAAAAGCCAGCCCTGCGGAAAGGGTCAGGACTTCTGGGGGGGGCCGCGCCTGGGAAAAGCCAAGACATCGCGCGACTGGGAAGAGTGAGCCTTCGCTGGAGTGACCTCTGGTGCGGGCCCACCTGAGCGAAGGAAAAAAAAACGGTGTCGTCTGCGCTGACATTGGCGCCCTAAGCGGCCCGCGCTAGCTCGCGCGTGAGCGCCTTCGCCTCCAATGCGGCGTGCCGCGCGGGCGTCCCGCTCGAGCTGCGGCTCAAGGTCGCCGCGCCATCTCGCGTAAGACCCGCTTTTTTGATCGTCGCCCACGGTGTGGCTCGTGCAGCGGTGGAGCTGAAAGGGGCGCGCGCTCGAGGCGCGCTCACTCGGCGCCCCGCCGCTCTCGGGCCGAATTCTGGACGGTCGCGCGGCCGTGGCGCCACCGATCGCCACGGCCGGGCTGCCCGTGTTGTGTCAGAGGCGACGGTGGGGGCGAACAGCCCAGGGGAGAGCAATGCGCGCACTCGGGTGCGCCGATGATGTGTGTCTTCGAAGAGGCTCCCGGGCGAATGGGTGTAATGCCCGCCATTGGGCTACAGTCAACCATGACAGCAAGGATGGGGCAACTTTCCAAGGCTACCCTTGCATCCTTGCCCCCTCGGTATTCGGCATCCTTCGGCATTCTGCTGCGCTCCACACGGAAAACGTCAACATGGCGTTCCGAGGCCCTTGCATCCCCACCGCGCACCCCTCCCTGCCCTGGCCGGGTGCCCTCGCCCCCCTCGGCGCCGCCGATCTTGCTCGCTCGCCCGGATCCCGCGGATCGCCGAGCGGCATGCGGCGGCGGCGGCCTGCGCGCCTGAGCTCCCCCCCGTTCGGCCCCCGAGAGCCGCGCACCAGAGGGCCGCTCCTTGCCCAAGGGGGTCGCTCTCTGGTGTGCAGCCTCGAGCCGGGCATGGCCCTCCACGGGAGGAGCCGTCTCAGGATTGGTCAGAGGTGGCCCGGGGACGATCTTTCGTGCCTTCTTCGACTGCTTGTTTTAGATATCTTGTCATTTTCCGTCCAAAGTCCGCCTGTAGGAGGACATGCCCGACCTACGCCTACGGGCCACTCGTGCAGGTAGCCGACCCCTGCTGGCCGAAGCCATTGCAGGCTCAGGCTTCGTCCGCCTGGCTCCGGGGGCGGCCCGCGGGCGCCATGGTGGCCATCGAGATGCGAGATCGGGGAGCGTCGGCTGGCCACCGTGAGACCCGGGCGCTGCAATCCGAGACAGAGGTTTGTCCACAACCACCGCCGGTGGGATCGATCTTCGCGCACCTCCACGGGCGGTGGATCTGGATATACATCGGAGGTGAGGGGGTGAGATCGAAGTGGAACGGAGAGCCCCCCTACCGGGAAATCGATTTCGGTTTCGTGTTCGTGCGTGCCGTGCGTGCGGGCGAGGCGAAGCTGCGTGGGCGGGCGAGAGAAAGTCTCCTGTGGCTGAGGCGCGGCCGGACCAAATGTTTCCCTTCCGGGCGGCCGGTGGCGCGCGGTGTCCCGCCGGTGTCCCGCTGGTGTCCCGTCGGTTCTCCTGTGGCTGAGGCGCGGCCGGACCAAATGTTTCCCTTCGGGCGGCCGGTGGCGCGCGGTGTCCCGCCGGTGTCCCGCTGGTGTCCCGTGTGGCTGAGGCGCGGCCGGACCAAATGTTTCTCTTCCGGGCGGCCGGTGCGGCGCGGTGTCCCGCCGGTGTCCCGCCGGTGTCCCGTCGGTGTCCCGTCGGTGTCCCGATGATGATGTTGATGATGATTATGATGATGATTCTGATGATGATGGTGATGATGATGGTGATGATGATGATATTGATGATGGCGATGATGATGATGTTGATGATGATGATGATGATGATGATGATGATGACGTCGATTGTGAGATCGATCTGTGATATCGATAGTGAGACCGAATGTGAGATCGAATGTGAGATCAACTGTGAGATCGATTGTGAGATCGATAGTGAGACCGAATGTGAAACCGAATGTGAGATCGATTGTGAGATCGATTGTGAGATCGATAGCGAGACCGATAGTGAGACCGAATGTGAGACCGAATGTGAGATCGACTGTGAGATCGATTGTGAGATCGATAGTGAGATCGACAGTGAGACCGAATGTGAGACCGAATGTGAGATCGATTGTGAGATCGATTGTGAGATCGATAGCGAGACCGATAGTGAGACCGAATGTGAGACCGAATGTGAGATCGACTGTGAGATCGATTGTGAGATCGATAGTGAGATCGACAGTGAGACCGAATGTGAGACCGAATGTGAGATCGATTGTGAGATCGATTGTGAGATCGATAGTCAGATCGATAGCGAGATCGATAGTGATAACGATAGTGAGATCGAATGTGAGATGGATTGTGAGATCGATAGCGAGATCGATTGAGTGAGACGTTGGTTCCCCCTCCCCCCTCGCCTCCTTATCACCCGCAGGGTGGTCGTATAGGTATGTATGTATATGTATATATACACAAGATGTTAAGGCTCGCTGCGCTTCGCCTTCTAATCTTGATCCTTGCACCGACGTGTCTCTAGTGACGCTGCGGTCCAGATCGTCGTCGTCGCCGCTGCCGTCGTCGTCGTCGTCGTCGTCGTTGTCGTCGTCGTAGTCGTGAACGAGCTCGAAGGAAAGCTGAGCATCAGATTTTGGTTCCCTGGATCGCTGAAGGAAGAGTATGAGAAGGCCGCGCTGGAGGAGGGAGGAGACGAGGAGGATCAGGAGAGTGCGGCGGAAGAGAAGGGGGGAGAGAGGTAGGAGAGTGAGGACGAGGAGAGGGAGAAAGAGGAGATAGAGAGAGGAGGCGGTGGGCTCCCGAGACGAAAAGAAAACTGCGCATCAAAGTGTGGTTCCCCGGACCCTGGAAGCTTGTCGTGGGATCTCTTTGGGGCCCCGAAGGTGTGTCTTGGGATCCCTCGGTGTCTCCAGGGAGCTTGGATGAAAGTCTCTGGTTTGGGGCCTTTCAGAAGGCAGCGACGGAGGAAGACCACGAACTACAGGAGGAGGAAGAGAAGCAGGAGGAGGACGAGCAGGAGGAAGCCTTGTCGTAGGCCCGTTGTGGGGTCTTCTTGGACCGTCCAGGAGTCTCGTGGGTGCTTGTGGGGAGCTGGTGACAGCAGTGTAGGGTCTGGGGAATGTTTTAGGTCCTCTCGAGATTTCCGTGGGCTCCTGAGACGAAAGGAAAATTGCGCATCAAATTGTGGTTCCCCAGACCCTGGTTGCCTGTCGTGGGACCTCTTTGGGGCCACCTTGGTCTGTCTTGGCACCCTTGAGTGTCTCTGGGGAGCTGGTGATAACAGTCTCTTGTCTGGGGCCTTTCAGAAGGCAGCGGAGGAGGAAGACAACGAACTACAGGATGAGCAAAATGAGCAGGAGGAGAAAGAGCAGGAGGAGGAGGAGGAGGAGGAGAAGGGGGGGAAGAAGGAGGAGCAGAGGGAGGAGGGGGAGCAGGGAGGGGCAGAGGGGAAGCAGAGAGAGGAGAAGAATGAGCAGTAGGAGGAGGAGGAGGAGGAGGAGGAGGAGGAGGAGGAGGAGAAGGAGGAGGAGGAGGACCATCGCACGGCTTCGGCAAGGGGTTCGACTTCGCTCAGGGCGACTCGAGCGCCTGGGCAGCCTGGGCGGCAACCACATCCATCGGGATCGGAGGCTTGAAGAAGACAATGAGGCTCGTCTTAGAGGCCCCTGGGTGTCTCCCCTCTGCAAGGCGCGCGTAGGCACCTTCTGAAAAGTTAGAAGTGAATCGCTTGAGACAACCCCTCCGGAGGCTCTTATCGGCACACTCTGAATAACTGCCGCACAACTGACATGCAACAATGAAACTCTCATCTTCAATTCTGTCGAAAGCTAAAAGCTTGTGCCCGTTCGGCTGCTCTGTTAGCTTGGCCAGACGAGCTGCATTGCCTGGGCACGACTCCTTGGCTCTGGAAAGTTTGACCTTGTCGGACGTGCATCGCGAGTGGCAGAGACAGCAGAGCCAACGTGTTTTCTGCCACATCCACACATGCCCGACCCGGGCGCGTGCGCGGGCAACACGGTCGGGACGGGGAGGGGGAGGAGCCGCCGCAGCTCCAGGGCCCGAGAAAGACCCCCTAGAGTTCGCTCCGCTTTGCCACACTTCCGCGATCGAGCGAGCACCTACAAACGGGTTGGTTGCCTTTACTGGGCCCTCGAGGCCTCTCCCCCCAACCCTCGGGGCAACCGAGGGCCACAGCGAAAGAGCCTTCGGCACATACCGAAGGAAGTCGAGCTGTCTCTCTCTCCTTCCAAGGGCTGGGGGAGGCGCGAGGCAGCTAATTTGGCAATTCTGTCAGCAGCGTCGTTTCCCGATGCGCGCCGCCACTCTTCAGAGTAGCGGTCCGGGGAATCTAAATCTTGATGGGCTTTAACCTTGGCAACTTCAACCCCCCATGCACAATTGGCTTCTCCTGGCCATAGCGCCAAGCCCATCGTACATGTTCTTCCTAACAGCAGGCAGGCCCGACTTGTGGAAGCTTACCACTTCTTTGAAATCAGAACGAATTATAGTCACTCCTCTGAACTGGCTGGAGGCTAGATACGCTAGAAACTCAGCCGCAGGAGACGTGGGCGGAAGGGCGCTGCCTACTGGCCCACAAAGGTAGGCCTCTACCTCCCCGTGGGCATCACATTTGACCGTAGCCCATCCTGGGGCATGTAACCACTGGTGGCCGTCCTTGGCCACGCTACCGTCGACGTAAACCTCGCCGACAAAAGGTTTCCGAAGGCGAACGGCCGTTTCGGGACCAAAACTGGGCCTCAGCCAAGCCGAGACCGATGGGCTTCGGGACCTTCAAGGGCGGAGGCCCCCGAAAACCAGCACATGTAGCAAAGGCCTGGGGGTCTGTCAGGGTTTCAAGATCATTTTCAGCAAGGTACTTTTCCCGAAGATCTGCACAACTGGGGCACTCCAGGAGCCTGTGGCAAAAATGGTCTGATGGGGCCCCACATATACAAGTAGTGTCCGTGCCGTAGCCCGCATCCTTGCATACATTTGGTCCACATCGATTGGGTCAGGTACGGCACGAGGAGGCTGCGATCTTGTTTACTGAGTCGTTTATCTGCGAGAGCTGCCTTAGTGTTAGACAAGTCAACTGCAGGCACTCCAATCTTTACTGCCACGGTCTCGGCCTGCTGCTCCTGCCACGACGCCTCGAGCATCCGACGGATGAGAGCAGGCGAGCTGGTCGTGAGCGAGTAAACCTCGCCTTCCCTGCTCATAAACTCCATGAGACTGGTCCATGACCAGCCAGCTCTTGGTAAACTTACATAGACGGCACCGAGGGGACCTCTGACATTACCCCAACCTGAAGGTGGCTTTTCCCGGATGTTTGCTGCAAGTTGTTAAATTCGGGAAGGCTGAATTCGGATTTCCTTGGATCTTGGGCCGCCCTGAAAACAATTATATTCCAGTAAATGCACGGTCCCACGGCTGATATCCAAGTGGGGTCTTCCAGCGCAGCTTGCGACGGGGCACGCGACCGAGTAGCACAATTGGGCCCCGCGACCTTCAGGAACCGATTTTGCGCATCCTGGACATCCTGAACCGTAAGCTCCAGAATATCCGTCCCGAAATAGCCTGCCGGCTGAAGACCAGTGTTCCGCATCTCCTTAGTATCTGTTCCTGCAGCGCGAAGGGCTCGTAATCTGCGGAGTCGATTCTTCAACTTCCCAGTCCTGGCCTTAAGTGTTTTCCTTCCCTTACTCCTTAGTCTGGCTCCTGCAGTGAAATCGACTTTTAAATTTGTGGCCGCAGGCTCAGTCAGGGCGGCCTTCGGGCCAGCCCATTGACCGAGCTTGGCCGCAAGATCGGCCTGGATCATCGGCGTGAAAGCCACAGCGGCAGCCTTATGCTTGGCAATGTCACATGTCAGATCGAGGACGATCGACTGATGCATATTAGCTGAGGCCGTGGCAAGGTCTGCCAGCAATCTGTTGGGCTTGCTGGCGTGGCTGGCCAACAAGAAATCAGCAATGAAAATCGTGGGCTGCGCGCGCGGGTTCTGGGCCACCCGGATGTCTATGGGCGGCAGGCAATATTGCTGAACGGTAAAAGTGGCGGCCCAGCAGCCTGCCGCGATGCCTCTGTCTGGGCGCCCAGCAGGTAATGCAGAAGCACGAGTAACAACTGTCCTGGCTGCCGGGTACTGATTGCAAATGATTA